ATAGAGGGTGAGAGTTCACCCAGGATATGTAGAATTGTGAGGATTTGGAGATGTGAGTGAAAAATTTATATAGTCGGGCTGGAACCATAGGACATCCAGTGCAACATTATATGAGTTGTTACCATAGGTGATCTAATACAACATATTATGGGATTGTTATAATGGGACATCTAAGTAGTCTGGCAACTCCTCAGTGCCCGTCAGGGTGTGATTAGGAGTCAATGACTCCTCTATCACAAGTGTGTGAAATGAGGGAAACCATAGTCCGTAAGTGGGTTAATTACCTTTGGTTGGGTGTTTCTACCACCAAAAGTGTGCTCGAGTCAATAAGTGATTGATCCAATAGAGCCTATGATTTCATGTCGAGGAGCTTTAGAGGATCAATGATAAATGATTATGCTAAGGTGTAAAAGTGTTTGAAAGTAATTTATATGTGAAAATGATGATTTAAGCTATGTTATGATACATATATATACTATACTTTGGTTTTATTACTTTGACATGGTTGTTTGTATTAATGTACATGAATGAACTATATTAGTTACTGAGATTTTTATCTCATCTGTGGTTATTTATATTGTTTAGGTTCTACTAATGGTGGTGCAAAGGAAAAAGACAAAGGCTGAGTTGACATTTATTGCTAAAGCCTTTTGTAAGAGATTGGTGTAATGAATTTGTATATAACATTATGAACTTATATATAAGTTGTCATAGGAATTAAGTACATGTGCATAAGGTTGTGAATATTATGTTTTGGTAGATTTGGTTCCTTAGCCCTATGTATATTTGTAAATGATGAAATGTTGTTGTGGGCTAATGGATATGTTCGTGAATATGTTTGTGCGTGTGTTGAAAAGTTTGGCCTTATATAAAAATGAATGTGAAGAAAATGTGCTTTTGTCTAAATGTGTGATATAGGCAATTTACAGGCTAAGTATGTATATGTGTGTTATATTGTCTATGTAATTGATTAATCGAGTGTATATTGTCTATTTAGACGTGATCAAGGCTCTAAAAGTGGCTAATGACTTTTGATTTTGATTGGAGACGCTCAAGTGGCAAATTTTAACTTAAATTAGTCAAAAAGCACTTGGGTGTCTAATTTTCAAATGAGATATCGAATTTAAATGAAATTAATGTCATTAGTTAGATTTTAAAATACGGTTCATGTAGGCTCTTGAACCACCCCAATCGGACATCGAGTGTAAAAACGATACACATTCGAAGTTACTACTAAAAACTGCTATATGACAACAAATTTAAGTGTGTGCGCCGCGATGCATATGTCCATATGTAGCCGTGCACAGCACAAAGAGTCACCTTGGGGTCTCTGTGCCACATGCCATAGCACATATGGCATGAGCCACGGTGCACGATCCCAGTTTTGACTTAATTATGTTGAAATGCACATGTTTTCTTGTAAACCGTAAAGTGCTATTGCATAATATTTTCATTGTGTATTATTTTATTATCCGAATTTATTATTATATGATTTTAAAAATACTTTCTTGGGATCCCAAAGTTTTTAAATTAAATAATTTGAAATTAATTAGTAGATTGTGAGGAAGGTTGAATGGTAATGTCAGTAAGGACATTACACTCTACCTCTGCCTTTAGTCAACCTGCCTCCAACTCCATGCAGCTAAAGTTGGAAATAAGGACTGAACTTATAGGCCCTATTTAAATAAAGGTTTGGGCTTTTAAAATGAGAGATTTTTAAGGTAACCGGGCTTTTTAGGCTTGGCCCTGATAAGCCCTAAAAAAAGGGCTCGGGCTTAGATGAGCCTCCAAGCCCTGTTATCTGTTTTATTTTATTGTTTTGCAATCTATGTAAAAATGGTGCGTAGAGAAAAAAAAATCTAAGGCTTGAACTTCTCTAATTTTTTATCTCTCAACTCTCACTCTCTTAGCCTTCTTTTTTAGATTAAAACTCTCAATCTCTCAGCATGAAGATTGAAGATTTCACATTCACTCATCTACCCTCCCGTTAATTTTTGCTTATCTTTACCTTACTTAGCATCTTTGCTCTCTCATTAGCCGTCGGTCACCCTTGCCTCATCTTTAATCGAGATGACCTCTACCTAGTGATGAAACTTACGATAACATAAAACTCCAAAGAGAAGAAAACAATTGCAATAGTACAAATACAAATAGAAAAAGGGTTATTTTTCTATTATTCTACTCTAAGTTCTAATTGTGCTAGAGATTAGCCAGAGGAATGGGATGTTGTTCTTTTCTTTTGAAGATCTCTGAGCAACACTCAAGAGGACGGTGATAGAGAGTTTTGCGAGACATGGGCAGGTGGTGAGCTAGATGTCAAAGCAACGGAATTTTGGGCCTACCCAAAAAAACGAATGAAAGGAGGATAATTTGATAACTAAAACCTAAGCCCAAACTTGAGCAGGTTGCTATATACACTATAGACTGTAGTTGCTTAGGTAATGATGATTTCTATCTCCCATGCTAACTTAGTTAGTTGAAAATTGATAATTCAATGAAATTTACATAGAAAATAAGATAGATATTGTTTGCAGGGTTTTCTATGTTGGCAAGCGTGGTAAGGGCTCTGGTCTTCAATTAATGTAATACACCAAACTTTTACATCAAACAATAAATTCTTGGGATCCTCTAGCACAATTCCCCTAAATAGTAGTGGAAGTGAAACTAGAATTGGGTTGGAAGTGAGCTTCAAAAGTATGTTTGGTAAGTTAGAAATATATATAGAATTGAATTGAGTCTTTTTGAAATAAAAAATAGGTTAAATTCATATGGAATTGAAGTGATGGTGCAAGTAGGGTTTGTTTTGATTTGGAGAAAAGGAAATGTTAATAAAATTCATAACCTGGGTTCTTAAGAATTAATCTCAATTCCATGGGTATAGGTAAGGAACCCAATTCCATCAAAATTGATGGAAGTGGGTTCCATATGGAAGTAAGTTTTATCTTACCGAATAGCTCAAATTTTAGATTTCACTAACACTTTCACTTCTCTAACCTTAATTCCATCGCACCAAACAGGGCATGAGAATCTCCCTATTCCCTTCCTTCATCACCAATACCATTGGTGCTCATCCATGGAGCACGGTTAATTGCTTGTCCTAAGTCATTGACACGATTTAATTGGTTTTTTTATCTGAATTTTGTTTGTAAGAACACTAAGCTTTTTCTTGGTTTCCAGTTGATAGCCCCACCCTAATGAGGAAACCTTCATCAAGTAAGTGGAGAAGAACACACTTTTCCTTCAAAGTGTTCTTGGTCAACAAATCCAGCAAGGTTTTTTCACTCGTTTTCATTCGTCTTTTGAAGAGGTTCTTCTGTCATTTGACAGCCCATTTGCAATGAAGGCTTTTGGAGAATAGAAGTAAATCTATTTGTTGGTTTTCTGTTTTATTAATACTAAACACATTAACAGCTTGCTTTTCCAAAGATATATTTCTTGGTTACTTGTGATTCTCTTGCAGTGGATGAGTTGCCATAGGGACAAACTCCTTTGCTGTTAATTCTTATGCTTCTCTACTACCTCTTTCTCTCTGCATTTTCAATATTAAAATAGCTGCCTCACTTATTCTTTTTGTTTTTGTAAATTTTATTATTTGGATAATTATTATTGCATTTTTTCTCATCACTTTACTCCATTTCTCTATGTTTGTAACTAGCAGTTAGCTATCGTCTCCATCAATTAGCAATTGGTTAATAATGTCCAACACATTTTATTGTACCCACATCCAACTCGCAGGATTTTATATGAACGGATAGCATCTTTACTTGGCATTTTTTGTAATAAGCCATATTTATTTGACATTTTATGGATGAAGCTAGATTAAATTGTTATCGTTATAGCTATGGGTAGTGAGTCCATTTTATATGTTGTCTTATGTTAGATGATTTCAACTAAGTAGCCACGCCTGTGTTGCGCGATTGAAGATACACGGGCACTACCAGATTCATCTTCAAAAGTCATGATTCTCGAAGCACTTGTGAATGGGTTGGGACAATTGAGAAAACTTGCAGTTCCGGAAGATGAATATGCACTAACATCAAGTTCTGCAAATGTTAACCAAAGCATTGATGCCTCTCTTTTTCAAACGCAAATAGTTTGAACATTAAGGATGGAATGTGTTTTGCATTGGCAGCACCAATGAAGGGGAAGATGTTCAAAGGGCTATGGTCAGGCTCTTCTGTTATAATCTCTACTTATTTGAGTGTTGTAATTTAAATTTACCATCCAAATAGTTTCATTATCACACAGGACCCAGGAATCCTTAAATCAATGACACAAGCTAGCATTCCACTAATATCTCTTTTTATTCTTTTTTTCCCCCTTCAAAGCAAAACATCCACTTCAAATGAAGATCTCATTATTTATGAACTTTCCCAAACATCATATTACTAATAAATGCTATTGAAAACTACTTGTGTCTTTTTCTAAAGCAAAAATCTAGGTTTTAAAAGTTTTAATTGAAAAACTTGTGATAAAAATTTAATAATATACTTCCTTCAAATCATAATTCAATACATCTTTTAAAAATATTACTTAATTCAAAATATAAAGTATTAGATAATTTTTATAATTATTTTTTAACTATACCCATATTTTATTTATTATTCTTTTTGAAAAAAATATACATTTAATGAAGATATTAAATGAGAGTATAATTAAAAAGATACACAATTTTTTAAAAAAATTAAGAATCTATTTAATTTTTTAAGTTATCAATATCCTATATTATGATTTAAAAAAAAGAGCTTTTAAGTAGGACAAAAAATATTTCCTATCTACCTTAAAAATAGAAGAACAGGGAGTATATAACATTGGTTTCCCTTCTTTTTTTTTTTTTTTTTGGTTGGTTGAGTTTGTTTTTTCTCTTTAGTATATGTATATTACCTTTTCTTTTTTCTTTGAAATAAACCTATTACCTTTTATTTTATCTTCTCTTTCCATCACAAAAAGCTTGACAGCTAATGACTAATGACTAATAATAACAAAGGCATGAAATAGTCTTAAACTAAGAATCCGGTATCTTGCATCACGCGTTTTCCACAAGGCACCAATCCACTCACTTCGTTTTCACTCACTCATCTTTCTCTCCCTCACTCAAAATTCTCAGAACCAGAAAAAGAAGAACCCCCAATCTCCTTTCTTCCACTATGCCTTCTGGCTTCTTCCTCTAACCCATTTCATCACAATGAAAACGAAATATTAAAAATCTCTAATTTTCCTTCTTACCGGATCCTTACCCAAGACTCGCTTGTGTTTGTTGCCTCCTGCTTCAGAATTACTCATTCCCTCATGTTATCATTCCCCTCCATTGTTTTCTATTCTGTGTTCCTCTCTGTACCTTTTTTCTTCGTTCTTGCCCCACAATACCGGAGTAACCGCGCCCTTTCCCACATCTCCGCCGGCGATATCAGCACCCTCCCTTTCGTTCGTGGACCCGCCGCCGCCGCCGGTGGTGTTTATACTGCTTCCGGAATCTCTCGCTCAGGTGTCGCCACTGATCCAAAACCCAAAATCGCATTCCTCTTCCTCACCAACTCGAATCTCTCCTTCGCTCCCTTGTGGGAACAATTCTTCCAAGGAAACCACGATCTCTTCAACATATACATCCACTCAGATCCATCTGTTATCGTAATTCCTCCTGGCGGTGTCTTCCACAACAGATTCATTCCGTCGAAGAAAACATACCGCGCTTCGCCGACGCTCATCTCCGCCGCTCGCCGTCTCCTGGCGGCCGCTCTCGTGGATGACACGTCGAACCAATACTTCGCTCTCGTCTCGCAGCATTGTATCCCGCTCCATTCCTTTCGGTTCATGTACCATTACCTATTCAAGAGCCCGTCATCCTTAACCTCTTTGATGACGTGGGGTTCATCCGAGCAATCTCGGTATAAAAGCTTCATCGAGATTCTCTCCGACGAGCCCAATCTCTTCGAACGATACGCGGCTCGCGGCGTGAACGCGATGCTACCGGAGGTACCGTTCGAGGAATTCCGGGTCGGGTCTCAGTTCTTCGTGCTGACAAGACGGCACGCAGCGCTGGTGGTCAAGGATCGGAGGCTGTGGAGGAAGTTCAGGCTTCCTTGTGTGAGCGAAGAACCGTGTTACCCAGAGGAGCACTACTTCCCGACGCTTCTGTCCATGGAGGATCCGGACGGGTGTGCCGGATTCACACTGACGAGAGTAAACTGGACGGGTTGTTGGGACGGGCACCCGCACCGGTACACCCCGCTGGAGGTATCGCCGGAGCTTGTTCACCAATTGAGACTCTCGAACTCCAGCTATTCATACTTCTTCGCGAGGAAATTCTCGCCGGAGTGTTTGCCGGTGTTGATGGATCTTGCTGATGACGTCATATTCCGGGATTGACATGAGCACATATAAGTAGGGTTTGAAGTTTTTTTCTTTTTTTTTTTTGGGCCTAAAAGTTGGGTTTGAAGTTGATAGATAAATATATGGGGAAAAAAGTTGATAGATAAATATCCGCATGTAGTTATAGTTATAAAGTTCTGGTTCCAATCTTCAAACTGTACTGCAGAATGTTGGCCTAAAAAACTGTACCGTAGGAAAAAAGTTTCAGGTAATTAAGCAATCCCAGGGTAATGTTTGCATGTTTTAAAGTTTAAATCACTTGCCAAGCTTAAAGTTAGGATTAATTGTTAATATGAAATTTTTAATTTTTTTCCCCTTTTGTTAGGAGTTTTATTTATAATGTTGGGGGAGAATAATTTTTTTCCTTTTTAATTAATAATGTCATTAAAAAATATATATTTAATAGATTTAAAGTTAAAAATTTATTGTTTATTCAATTTTTAGAGTCAATGAGTTTTAAAATTTCTTTAATTCTAAAATATGTTAAAAATAACTTTGAAATAGGATTGAAGGAATATTACTTAACATGTATATATTTTTGATCTAGAACCGAGTAACCAATCATTGACAAGCATTACGTATGAAACATTTGATATTATTTGCAGGAGATATGGTTTACATATGGGAGAATAAATCTCAAGTGCCAACGAAAAAAATTAAAAACTGAATTTGTAAATTTTTAAAATTTAATGCTTGAAACTTGATTTAAATTAATTAATCCTATTAAAAACTACATGTTATTCTCCCTTTACATATCTAGTATCGTCGCATCATATATTTCAAGCAGTACATGTGACTGAGAAGTAATAAAATTACTCAAAGATGAATCTAGTTTCAATTAATCGACTAACCTAACTCCTAGTGAAATTATTATTCGATTTGGTACCATGGAAGAGATTTTGGTAAAAATAGAAATAGATATGTAAGTAGGAATGAACATGAGGTTTAAAAACATACTTGGTATGTTTATGAAATCATAATATCATTTTTATTTAAAATATATATTTATAACATTAAAAATACCAAAACACCCTTGCTCTAAAAATACTCCAAATCCCAACGACCAAAAAAAAAAAACCCAGATCATCGCAAAAAGCCGATAAGCTTGAACCCAGAAATCTGATTCCAGCGGACGCTATTGTCAAACTGTCAAGCTCGAACCTAGAAATCAAGCATGCATCGGAGCTAACAACCCAAAACCCAAATGCAACTCGGAGAAAAGATGAAATCAAATCTGAACAATAAAAAAAAATTTATATATTGCAATCCACCAATCAATTTAAAAAGCGCGTAGAAGATGGAGGGCAAAGGGAGACAAGATTAAAGCTATAGAAAGAGGGAGTGAGCCAAGATCAAAGCCATCTCCAGCCTCGTGCTGCAGGTTGGAAATATGAAAAATAAAAAGGAAAAAACCACAAATAAATATGAAGTAGCGTCAAAATATGCAATAAAATTTGTCACTTAAATGGAAGCAGAAAAAAAAAGGAGTTAAGACTGAAAGTGCTCAGTGCAGTGAACAAATAAAACGAGTGGAAGTTGAGGTATAATATTGCCTGAAAATGAAGGTCTCACTAACTATCAAAATCATGGGTTTGTCGAAGGATGAGAAAGAATGGTGGAAGCGAAGGTCTCACTGTTATCATCATTCTCTGGCCTCATCATCGTTGCATATCTTCAATGACTTCTTCACCGATGGCGCCAAAGACTAGTGCCAACGAAAATGGTTCGGGGAATGTTGAAAATTTGGGTTAGGTTGTCAAAAATAGGGGGCAAATATGTCTAAATATTTCACTAATGATCCAATCTCATGGAACCCATCTCGTTTCCATGGGTCACCTTGTGAAATTCAATTCAACCATTTTTGGAGGCATTCAATTTTACATGGAAGTCAAATTCATGCATATCAAATAAACATCTTTCCTAATTCCATACCATTTCCTATTACATGCTCCAAATTCCAGCCTACAACATAACTCTTTTTATCTTAAATATTATATCCTTCAAATGACTTGACCTGCTTTAAATAAAAATACTTTAATCTATTTTGTTATGATGTCAGGGTAACCTCATCATATCAAAATCGACGCCGTGCATGTCACACCTAAACCAACAAAACTGTTAGCACACATACGGTGCACGGTTTTGATTTTACTTGCTTGAAGTTTGTTTTCACTTGCACGGATCATTCTCAAATCAAAGAATAAAATACAACTTAAAAAAAGGAAAGGAAATATATTTGTTGGTCCTACAATTTCAGTATGTTTTGGCATTAGTCTTAAATTTCATCTTTCTACAATATTAATCCTTATCATTACTAATAAAATTAAATTTATTAATATGTACATCACTCTGCTAATTTTGTTACTGATTTGATAAAATTATGATGAGTTATATATTATAGGAACAAAATCACCACCAATCTTTTGCTTGTCAGTCCTGCTTTTCATTCGTTGTGCATTTCAAGATTTTAATTTAATGTCCTGCTTATTTTTTTTGTCTTCTACTTACTTTTCATACAACTTATTATAATTATAACAAGTCAGCACAAAAGTCACACAGTTTGTTCATGTTAGTCACCATTAAGTCCTTATGATCATATTTAAAATGTATGAACTAACATTGCAAACAGATAAAACTTAAGAAATTTGGAGTAACAATAAAAAATATATATAAAAACTAATAACATAACATGCTAAAATTATAGGGTTATATTTTTCTAAATAACAGTATCTGATGGACGAACAAAATGGTGTAAATTAGCTTACACATGTTAAGCGAATATTTAAATCGATTACAACTTACAAACAAATAAATCACTAAAAAAGTGTGATGGATTCTTTACATATATCTAGGATATAAAGGTAAATAAGACAGATTGATCATATAATTGTTTACTAACCACCATTTAGCTTGTCATGTTGTATTTTACAAGAATACTATTTCTTGCGTTAGTATTTAGTTAATCCATATAAGATTCTTACTAAATGCCGTATCATGTTAAGTGCTTCTCATTTCTACCACCGTCCGCTTTGCGACCATCAACAAAACAAGGCATATTTCTAAGAGACTACTAAGTGGCTTCCTACTATACAAGGACGAGACGATAATTCAATAAAAATATAATACAAATATCTTTCAGGTGCCATAGTTCTATCCAAAAACTTAACTGGCAAACACTTCAAGAACATGCACAAAATTTCTATCTTCGTCAAATAATGCCAGCAATGGACCAGTCAAATCACCACATAAATCGACATAATCAATATATGCACATCCATACACGGTCTAGCACTCTAGCTCGTGTCCACACCACTTACGCTAATGAAAGGATTACCTTAACCCCGTATGGAGGCCCGTGGCACAGCAGGTAAACCCAATTCATCCTCAGCCTGTTAGCATCAACAGCAACCAATGAACAACATTCAGCTCATCCAAAAGAAAAAAAGAAAGTATTGGACAACATTCAAACATAAAGCAAGTCCAGAAAAATGCTCGGCTAAATTCTCGAGTAGTTTACAGTTTCATGTTGTAAAGTTATACTTGATACAGAAACACCTCATTTCATTACCAACAACTAGGCTGGAGGACATAGTACACAGATTGGCACCAACGAAGAATAGAGATTATAATTTATTCCATTCCCTACCAGAACATGGACCATGAGGCTGGAGAGCCAAGCATTGTGAAGGCACATCCTTACATTGCTAGACAGAAGAATATAACATGAACGTCCCACATATGTTTAGAATCAACTACATTCTTCAAAAGATGGCTGGGGCAAAAAACAATATTCTTCAAGGGCAGCATGCTACTAACTTAAACTCTTCCTATTCCTATTAGGGCCGGCCCCAAAGAAACTGGAGCATAAGCATTGCGACCTCAAATAAAATTTAAAAAAAGAAGAAGAAGAAGTATTTGTGCATTGATCAAACTTCGAAAAAAAGTACAATTTGGTCTACGGATAATGTCATGCGTTTAACATGATTCCTATACTTATTTTTCAGTCTTCAAAATTCTTTAAGATCAAGTCCAACCACCATCTTGGACGCTATAGGCTCTCAATTAACATCTTTGACTATCACCCCTTCCTAGCCTTCTTCTTCTTCTTCTTCTTCTTCTTCTTTTGAACGGCCCTTCCTAGCCTTCTTTAGAACCCAAATCCCCATTCTTTCACAAGAACTTCAAGTCAAATTTGACCAAACTGCGTCAACCTAACTCTTTCATAGGAACCTTCTAGCCATCTAGACATTCTAAAACCATGATATGCGTTAAATAACAATGACAACCAAGTTTCCCCAATTTCTCATGTTATCGTCAATATTATTCTTGTTCTTACTGCTGCACTTTATTCAATGTATTTTCATCAAAATTAGGGAGCCCTAATCAATATAGAACGTTGATAGAGTTGCAGCCAACCACCAGACAATGCTTACAGAAAGAAATCAGTAACTTGCTTATTTGCTGGATCTTTTGCTACGAGAACACAATAAAATTCTTTTAAAACCTCATTCATGCATGGCTTTTTAAAAGAACACTAAAGAAAAGTAATAACAACTAGGCAAGAAAATCATACTTGAGCGTTGGATCTTCCAGGTGGTGCTGCCGTATGTCCTGTGGGAGCAGAAGGCAAGTTAAGATCTGCCTCTACATCAGGTTCCTTATCTGGCTGGAGGTAGGAAGGAACTCCATCCATCTCAATCTCATTTCCCATGTCTAATTCCAGTGCATCAAGTTCTGAACCACCAAATAAAGAAAAAAAGAAAACAAATATTTTAAAATGCTAAATAATAAAAGATAAAATTGTACTATCCTAAATTTTAATGGATCCAGGTGTCCACTAAAAGCTGCAATGAATAATTCATCCAGGCCATCAAATAGAGAACATCATGCATCCTACAAGCAGAAACTATATTGCTCGAAACATTGCACATGTCATGGATAAAATGTTTGGTTTTCAACCAAAAGTCCTTAAAACAAGGAAATAAAACATTTTAAGGGCAATTAATTTTCATGTGTTTAGCAAAGTTTCCAGCAAACGAGATGGTCGATATCATATTAGTGATATGCATGACAAACAGTGCAATCAATATTAGCCAAGGCTCATTGACATAAACTAAGTTTAGATAATTAACTTACCACCCATGAGTTCATCTTCATCAATGTCATCAGGCACGTTATAACTTCTACCTAAGGTCTCTTGTATTTCATTACTTACATCCATCAGGTCCATCATCTCATCTTGCAAATTCTGCATT